CCCCCCCCAATCCACTTCAGTGCAAACTCTGCCCCACAGCTGATTTTAAAGATTTTATTGGTTGTGTCAATTAAAGCTAGTGGGTGATTCCCGTATATCATAAAGCAGAGGTTCAAACTCTAGTCCGAACACCACTGGCCACGAGCTTTGGGCTCTGCTCTCACGGAGAATATGTATTTATAAAGCATATTTTATTTTAGATTAACTAGAAACAATGTTTAATTTATAAATTTTTATTTTGAAATGTAAATCAATAACAATAGGCTGGAGCCAGAGCCAATGGTGAAAGTCTTTGTGCGAGGAGACCCCTCCCCATTTTGGAGGTTCTGCCCACTTTTGGAGTTCACTCCCCATTTTGGTGATCTCCGGTCTGCAGTTATATCTACTTGGAGAAGATATGCTGAAGATATGGAACAGCATAGGAATGTATAGCCTATTGCTTTATGTAATATAAATGATGATCATATGAGGTATGTGTACCTAATGCTGATGTCAGATACACTCAGAATCTTCTCACATTGACCTGTGTCTGTGTTTGTAGATCTGAGGATCATAGAGAAGCAAAGCATGTCAGAATACACACAGATCATCTGCTGCCTTCAGATGGGTCATCTGCCACAGGTCAGTAAACAGTTCATCTGATAACGACTGACTTTCTTTTTGTTTCTTTCTTTGTTTTCTTTCTTTCTTTCTTTCTTTCTTTCTTTCTTTCTTTCTTTCTTTCTTTCTTTCTTTCTTTCTTTCTTTCAATATAACAGTTATTCATTCATAATTACACTGGTTCTGATGAATTATTTTGATTCACTGAAAAGAACCGGCTAATAAGAGTCATTCGTTCGGGAATCAAATCACATTGATTGCGCTGAATGTTTTCGTTTTTGATTCACTGAAAAGAACGCCTCATAAGAATAATTCCTTCAGGGGTCGCACTCTGGTGCGCTGTATTTTTCATAGACTACAGAAAAGAACCGACTCATACGAGTCATTTGTTCGGGAATGAGATTACACTGGTTTCGCTGAATGCTTTGATTCACTGAAAAGAACCGGCTCATAAGAATCATTCACGTGCAGAGTCGGACCGGTCCCGCTATAGATTCAGTAGTGGTGTCATTAGATCGTCTTTAGGCTCAGGGAATATTTTTGTTATATGGAAGCAGTTCTGTATCCGGTTCTCGGTTAGACATATACTCTATTTTTATAGTAGAATTATTGATTAGTTTGTGATATTAATGTTTCTCTCTGCCTCTAACAGAAATCATTGCTGGATGTGGGCAGAACCGAGACAGCTGTGAACTATCAACACACAGTGAATTTGAAAAGGCAGCTCTCAAGAGAATATCGATTAGACCCAGAGTTCCTGTGTAGGAGTTATTGAATTAAGATATCTTTTGTCTTATAGGCTACACTTAATATTATATTACTAAATACTTGTATGGAAATACTTTTTATCGGTTACCTAAAAAGATTTGCAGCAGTCTTTTATTTTTTTTTCACTTTGATGTCTAAAACAAATGTAATCTTGTGCATTCATGTTATGTTTAAGAGTTTAGGCCTTAAACAACCATCACCAGAGGGGGCTACAGACAGCATTTAAAGCACCTTATATACAACACACTAATTATTGGCCCCTGATAAATGTATGTGATTATCAAATACATCCAACTAGTGCATATTTAGAAAAACAATTAAAACCTTGCTGACTGACAAAAGTCCAGTATGAACACACATAATGGTCATGGGTGTTATGTTTCCTTCACTGCCTTTACAAAAAGGCTATTATACTTCATTGTTTTTATGCTGCAGTTTCACTTTATATAGAGCAGATGTTGTGCGTAGTTGCAGGGGAATAGCAGTCCCCCATCACACCTTCTGTTTGTGAAGCCCTATCATTTACTGCAGATGTCATCCAGGGTGACCATTGCCCCATCTTGCATCTGCTTGTTGCTGAGAGGCAAGACAAAACATCAGATGTCAGTTTCCGCTCTTCTGCAATGAAGGTCGATGCATTGCTCTGAGCTTCCATTGTACTGTAGGCAATCCAAATAAAGACTGGACTCATGCATTTTCAGAGTGTTTACAGGAACGAGGAGGTTTTTAGTGATATATAGTTTGTTGTATTTCAAAAGATCAAGTGGAAATTAGATTTTATATCATTTGACCACTTCACACCAATTATAAATTCAGGTTTTATTGCGTGGTAGAAAATTAGAAAACAAAATGGTATAAAACAATAAAAGTAAATGCAAAGTATTACAGATATTTAAAAAAAAAATCTGTTGCCACAAAGTATTTCTTATTTCTGTTCGTATTTCTGTTTTGCATCCAAACAGACCTGCTTTTTTTTTTGCTTTTTTAATGCACCGAAATGCAAAGTATTACAGATATTTAAAAAAAAATCTGTTGCCACAAAGTATTTCTTATTTCTGTTCGTATTTCTGTTTTGCATCCAAACAGACCTGCTTTTTTTTTTGCTTTTTTAATGCAACGAAACAAATGCTTCATGTGACACATTACCTGCTCTGATCAAGATGAGATGCACTGTGGTCTTTGCTCAGATGTGGTGCGGGTGTCTATTATTGTAGATATGAGATGCAGAAGGTATGCAGAACATGCTGTGGAAACACTGTTTGTGGGTGAAGTGCTAATGACGGCCTGTAACGGTAGTGTAGACAAAAAAAAAGTAAATGTGTCATAGCATTACATTAAAACAACATACTTTATCATAGAAATGGCTAAATTAGAATAGAATAAGATGTTCTGAAGAACTTTTACCAGAAACTGCATGTTACGGAAGTTGCAAAGAATCGAGGCAAACGTGATAGCGGAAAAGCTAGAAGAAATATAATAGTTTACAGAAACGCTTACTTGAACTTGTTGCTCATAGGAAATAAAAGTCTGCATTGACCTTGAGTTCCCATGAGTAAGAACAATGAGCCAACTGTGATTTAATATAGAAAACAGTTGTTTAGTTCCCACAAAACACCAGGCATCTGCAGATTCATTGTAAATCATAACTGGCAGTATAGAACTGTGAACATTATGGATGGTATTCAAATTATTTGAATGTGTAATTTCAATTATTTTTGTTAAACACAGGAATAGCGCAGGAATATTAGTCACTAGTACATTTATTATACACACTTCTTTCTCAAAAGAAGATTCTGTACAGGAAATAGTGGCCAACCAAAACCTAAAGTGTCAGAACATCTCTAGTGTGAACTTGTGGCTATAGAAAGGAAATGGCATTAGCTATTCAATATGTAACTTTATGCAATTGTTGTGCCTGATTTAGGACTAACATCTCAGGTTTACTGATGAGATTAATTGGCTCTTGTGCTTAAGGATGAATCTTGAGCTGATGTAAACCTACCTTTCCTTGTATTTTCAGTCTAAATACCCATCAACTGATTTTTTTATTTACAGACTCAGCGAACAGCTTTTTTTGCAATTTGTTTGGTATGCAAATAATAAAAATGGTATTTAGATTAGAGATTAGAGAAAACGCTTTACTTGATCAGAGCTGTACTCAACAGGGTTTTGTTTTGTTTTTTGCTGAGAGGAAAATGACAAGGAGTTAAGATGAGAGAAGTGCTGCAAAACTACAAGATGAACAAAATAAATTAAATCATGAAAAAAAAAATCTGCACTTCAACACAGTTCCTGTTCAGAGTCTTCATCCTGTTTGTGTGAAAGCGAGGCTCCGGTGGGAAGAAACCCGGAAGTAAAGGTAAACAACAATGGCTTGGACTACCAACCTTCAGCTGCTACCGCGATTTAATATTTTAGATGTCGAAAAATGGGCCGAGGAAGGATGTCGAATCCCACGAGCTGTATTGTTAAAGGGATACAGCAACTGGATCGAGGGCTACGTCACCGATATTGAAGGTAGGATTAACGTTATATCGCATCACATGAAACCAAACAAGCTAGCAAGATAGCTCTGCCTTACCGGTTGAAACGCATTCTGTTTGTCCATGTTAATTTCGTTCTTCGTTTTTACAACAGGACATTTTATGTTATGCATTTCGGATATTTTTCCAATGTTTGCAGTCAGGAAAAGTGAGGCAGGCTGTGTTGTGAAGGCAAGGGCATTTCGCTCAATGCGAAAAAATGATACCCCTTACATGGTGCAGGTAACGTGTACGAGTAGACAGTGAGTTCAAGTTCAGACGTTCAGGCGCTAGTTCAAGTGCCAAAGTTCTTTCTTTTCTTTTTTTTACTGAATTCATCACCTTCTTTTCAGTGACACTGGTTGTAGGACAACCTGACAGTTTGACATACCTTAATTATAATAGTAGCAATAATAATTTTATAAATTAATCAGAGTTTTTGTGACAAAGACATTTATAATGTTACAAAACATTTCCATTTCAAATAAATGCTGCCCATTGAACTTTCTGTTTATAAAAGACAGTATCAAAGTTTCCACACAAAATATTAAGCAAAAAAATAAAATAAAACTGTTTTAGCATTGATAATTAGAACAAGAAGAACACAAACCATTATTATTAATTGGGCACCATCAATAACTGCTAATAAATTTACACCAAATCGACATATTAGGATGATTACTGAAGGATCATGTGACACTGAAGACAGGCGTATTGATGCTGAAAATTGTATGTACATGTACGTCCAACATTTAGCATCATCAGTTCAACCCAAATACAATCACTATACAGATGCCAACTTACCATGTTGTTTCCTACAACCAGCAAACCTCTCCATTTTTGGGGGGAAATGGTAAAATGTTCCTTGACTTCCCACAACATGCTGGACATTAATATTGTTATTATTTGAAATAAATATTGACTTACCCCTTTTGTTTCTTAATTTCCAGGTGGAATTTCCATCGGAAGGTTCCTTCGTCATTGGCCTGTCAAAGTGCAACTGCAAAGCTGGCCTAGGTCACTGCAATCATCAGATTGGGTTACTGTATACCCTGGCACACTATATCAAACTGGGATATAAGTCCATTCCACCTACTGTTAGTAAAACCTCCCTACCACAGACATGGCACGTTCCTTCACGGTCTATGGGTCTAGCCCCTAAACCTATTAATACAGTAAAAATATCAAAATTAAAGCCCCCAACAGCTGATCCACCACAAACATCCTATAAAAGATCTCGTCATGGAATCATACCCAACATCTACTGTCCTATTCCAATCCCTTTACCAAGTGATCAGTTTGCTAATGACCTTTGTGAAAACCTTGCTAAAATTGGAAGCAATAGCCAAATGTACAAACTGCTGCTGGCATCAAGGAAATACCCAGTGGACAAAGTTGAATCGGAATTTGGACTTCTGCCCCATGGATCAGCTTTGACGTACCAAGCCGTTGGCTTACCCACCACAACCACTGATCACTACCCACCTTTTCCTCTGCCACCACAACCGTGCACTTACTAAACAGTTCAAAATGAGAAGGAGAGTACTTTCTATAGAGGTATGACTGTTACACCCTCTGATGCTGAGGCACTAGAGATAGAAACCAGGGTACAGAGTGACAGTAAGATATGGCACCGTGTTCGTTCCCAGCGTCTGACTTCATCCACTTTTAAAAGAATAGTCTCACGAGTTGCAGACTTCAGCACGCTTGCCACCAGTATGCAGAAGCAGAAAAGGTCAGTGCAGACACAAGCCATGAAGAGAGGCCTGGAACTGGAGCCAGATGCAGCTGCACAATATGAGCAGGAAACCGGCAATCATGTTTTCCCTTGTGGCTTTGTCATAAATCCTCATGCCCCCCATTTAGGCGCATCTCCTGATCGAAAGGTGGTTGACAGTTCTGGTGCTCTGGGGTTGCTTGAAATCAAGTGCCCTGATGTAAACAGTGTACTTGAGTGCAAATACCTTTCTGTAAAAGAAGATGGTGTGCTTGCTCTGAAAACCAGCCATGAATATCATTATCAGATGATGGGACAAATGGGAATCACAGGGATGACCTGGTGTGACTTTTTTGTCAAATCCAGAAATGACTTCCATCTAGAGCGCATTGACTTTGATGAAGAGAAGTGGGAGTCTGTAAAAACTAAATTAGACTTGTTTTTCTTCAACTACTGGCTGCCCAACCTGTGCTTATAAATCAACCTGTGCTTAGTGAGTAACACACACACAAACACACTTAACAATCAATGCACACTTTCGATAATTAAGTAAATATATGTACAGTTTTAGAACAACTAATTTCTACATTAAAACAAATAACAATGTTAAAATATTGTCATTGCTATTTATAATAGATTTTCACTGTATTGTATACATAAGTACTAAATAAATATTTGTATAGTTTTAGAACTCATTTCTAGATTAAAACCAATGAAAGCTAATGGGTACAAAATATATATATTTTTATTTCAGTAATTCAATCCATGTAATTTGTACAGTAGAAAGACAAATATACAAACAATAAACCAAAGTAGCAACATTTAAATGACTCCTCATTTATG